AATAATAACCATTCTTTCTGGGGTAAGATAGAATCTCAGTGTTGTTTTAATTTGCATCTCTTAAATCACCAATAATGTTGAACATTTTTTCATATTTTTTCCCCATTTTTACTTCTTTATATGAGAAGTGTGTTCATTTCAGATATCTCTTTTCATTTGGGTCTTTAAATTGAGAGGAGCATCTGATTTTTTTTAGTTCTTTACATATTCTAGATATTGCTCTTCTATCTGAAGAAAGGCTTGCAATTTTTCATAAAACTTTGGGTTGTCTCTTTACTCCGTTTTGTTTTCTTTTTCTGTGCAAAGGATTTTTAGTACGGTGAGATACCAGTTGTTGATTCTTTGTGATATTTCCTGTGTGATTGGGTTATATTCTTAAAGTTTTTGCCTACCCAGTGTCTTCAAGAGATCTACCTAGTCTTCCAGGAGATGTAATGTTTCTGTTTTAGTAGATTTTGATCCATTTTGATTGTAGTTTAGTGTATCATGAAAAATAGGGGTTTAGTTTTAATCTTTGACATGTGAAAGATATTTTTCCAGCACCATTTATTAAAGAAGCTGTCTTTCTTCCAATGAAGGTGTTTGTCTCTTTTGTCAAAGATGAGGTGACAAAGTATGCAGTTGTTTCTACATCTTTTAATCTGTTCCATTGATCCATAGATGTAGTTGTTTGCTAGTACCATGCTGTTTCGTCATGTTAGCTTTGTAGTATAATTTCAAATCAGGGATTGTGATGCCTCCTATTTTGTCTTTGTTGTCCAGAATTACTTTTGTTATTCTAGGTCTTTTCTGGTTCCAAATGAATTTTAGGATTGTTTTCTCTAGTCCTGTGAGATCTGATGTTGGTATTTTGATTGGTATTGCATTAAGTCTGTATAACAATTTTGGAAATATGGCTATTTTCACTATATTGGTTCTTCCTACTCAAGATCCAATGATAGTTTTGAATTTCCTGATATCCTTGCTGATCTCCTTTTTCACAATTTTCAATGTAAAAGTCTTTTAGTTTCTTTGTTAGATTTATTCCTGGATATTTCATTTTTTTGGATGTTATAATGAAAGGTATTCTTCCCCTAATTTCTCTCTGTGAGTCAGTTACTCATATATAGGAAAGATACAGATTTTTGAGTGTTGACTTTGTCTTGCTTCTTGATGATTTGCTACATCCTATAATGACATTAGATCTTCTCTAAATTTCCTGTAGAATTCAGCAGTGAATCTCTCAGGGCCTAGGCTTTTCTTTGTTGGTAGGTTTTTTACTTACATCTTCATTTTCACAGACTGACATTGGTTTATTTTGAATTTTTGTATCTTCTTGATTCAGCTTTAGTAATTCGTATGTATCGAGGAATCTATCCATTTCTTCTGTGTTTTCCATCTTATCTGGATTTCTTTCTTTTTTTTTTTTTTTAAATTTATGTGTGTGTGTGTGTGTGTGTGTGTGGCCAGCTCAGCCCACCAGGGGGCAGGGCTGGCTGGCATGTGGTGCTGGGGGATATGAACCGCGGTCCCTGTGCTTTTAGTTTGTTCTAAGTAGGTGCTTTTAGACCACTGAGCCATCTCACCAGCCCTTATCTGGATTTCTACAGGATCTATTGTGATTTCACCCTTTTCATTCCTAATTGCATGGATTTGAGTCTTTTTTTTTTCTTTTTTATGATAAAGTTGGCTGAATGTTTGCCAATTTATTTTTATTTTTATTTTTATTTTTATTTTT